TCCATAATATGGAGAGCCTTGTTGAAAACCAATCAAATTGTGAAAGATAATACAAAATGGCTTATTGGTAGTGGTTCAAAAGTGTCTTTATGAAATGACTGGTGGACAAGTGATAGTCCACTCCAAAGAAGGATGCAGGTTCCATCCTCGGCTAATCGGAACAACACAGTGGCTGAGATTATAAGTCCCACAGGTAACTAGAACATTCAAAAAGCTGGTATGTACCTTCCCCCTCTTTGATCTCTGATCTTGCACACACCACTGCCTTTGGAAGGCTCCCATCATGACTCACCATCTTGGGGTCTCACAAGTAATGAAAAATTCTCCATTAAATCTGCCTATAATTGGATCTCTAATCCTATTCCAAGGCAGCACCATGACTTGAACTGGAATTGGATTTGGAAACTGAGGGTCCCTTAGAAACTTAAACATTTTCTTTGGTTGGTCCAAAGTGACAGACTCCTTTCAAACGCCTTGAGGTTCACAAGAAATCTCACAAATGATCCTTCTTGTGAAAGGTGCAAGGCCCAGTACGAAAGTACTATCCACATTTTAAGAGACTGTCCAAAAGCTAATCTAGTCTGGAGATCATTTCTAAATAGGAATGATCTCCAACTAGATCAATCTACGGACCTCCAAAGTTGGCTCATTAAGAACTATAATGCTAGAAAGGACATTTTTTGGAGAGGTGTGAAATGGCCTATCCTCTTCGTATCTTTGATATGGAACATCTAGAAAGATAGGAATCAAGAATGTTTGGGAAATATAATCAACCCTCCCCTTTTTATTGCTAAGAAAGTTTGGAGATTGGCATGGAACTCATGGAATGCTTTCAATGAACCCCACTCATAGGTGACTCCTAACCCCCCCAAACTAATTGGTTGGTCTTTCCCTCCTACAGGATGGTTGAAAATGAATGTGGATGGTAGCTCTAAAGGGAACCTTGGCTCAGCTGCATTTGGAGGACTGCTAAGGAATGATCAAGGAAAGTGGCAGCTGGGTTTCTATGGGAAGCTAAAGGATTCCAATTGCCTACAAGCGGAACTGTGGGCAATCTATCAAGGCCTCAAGATTATACAAACTCAGAACCTAAAGAATGTGATCATGGAAACAGACTCCCTGGATGCCCTCAACCTAATCTCTGCTAGGTTGGAGGAACTCCACCCTGAAAGAAATATCATTGCAAATTGCAAAGCATATAATGGGATTGACTAACACTCCCATTATTCACACACTAAGGGAAGGAAATTTCTGCGCTGATAAAATGGCAAGCTTGGGAGGGCTGCAGCAGGATTCTTTTGTTCTTTTTGATGTCCCATCGCCTGTGTTGGGGCAATTTCTTTTGAACGACCTGTCATGTGTATCTTTTGCTAGAGGGTTTAAATAACCCTGTTTCCTTTTCATATGCACCAAAAAAAAAAATTTTAAAAATTTTCTTTCTATAATTTGAAAAGCAAGAAAGTTATAAGAAAATTTATTTAAATATCAATATTATCCTTATTTATATTAGAGAAATTTATATCTAATAGATAATGACTAACGTGAGAGACAATATGAGTAAAGTGAGAAATTAAATATGTGTTCAATTCAATATATATATATATATATTTCTCTGCACAATTTGCAATAAGCAAGAACGGTATGTTACTAGAAAATTTTATGGGCCCAAAAATTTAGGGTCTGTTTGGTAAGTGTTTTTGTCATATGTTTATGTTTTTGTTTTCAATTTTTGTCAAAAATGAAAATAAAAATATGTTTGATAACTGTTTTTGTTTTTGTTTTGTATTAGTTGTATTGGAGACAAAGACAAAAAAATGGGAACAAAAAAAAGATATTCTAGGAAACATGTTTTTTGGAAACACGCGCGCGCTTCACAACTTATTTAATGAGATCCTCCATTTGAATCCCATTAGCCACAAAAAGAAGGTTTTTTTTTGTGTTAACTATAAATACCCTTTGAAGGGTCTTTTTTTTTTTCTTTTTTCTTCACTCTATTGTCTTTTCTCTCTCTTTCTCAGACGAATATCGATACCTCAGACGGCGAAAAACTCACAAACGGAGAAGATCAATACCTCAGACGAAGATCGATCTGTCGTTCTCTCTTTGTCTCGCTCTCACAAACGACGAAGAACTTAGATGATCTCTCTCTGTTGAACTCAGACGAAGAACTCAGACGACAAACCACGAAGAACTCAGATCGATACCTCAGACGATCTATCTCTCTTTGTCTCGCTCTCGTTCTTTGTTAAAACCCAAAAAATCTATGTGTGTGTGAGTGATCTGTGAAAACCCAGAAAATCTCTCTGTGTGTGTGCGTGTGTGTGTGAGTGATCTGTGAAAACCCAGAAAATTTGTGTGTATGTGAGTGATCTATGAAAACCCATAATCAAACCCAAAAGCATTCCCAAAATCAATAACCAAAATAAATCATCTGTGTTAATTTGCTACCTTTTGCGATTTTGATTTCTCAAACCATCTGTGATTATTTGGTTATTAAATTTCTTGAACAACAACCAAAATAAATCTGTATTGATTTTATTGGGGGAGTTTTGGGTGGGGTGGAGGAGTTGTAGGGGGTAGGTTTGTAGTAGTGGATGTTTGATTTGTATTTTGTTGGGGTGGAGGAGTTGCAAGTAGGGTGAAAGTTTAAGATCCATTTATATACTCCTCATTTTGTTTGTTTTGACGTTTTTTGGAGGCCATTGATTTCGATAGTGATCTAGAACAACACTTTTAGTTATCTCTTTTAGTCAGGGATCTGAAACGAAAGCTTGATGGTATTGAATAATATTTGCTTTGTGTGATGATGTTTATGAGTTTGAAGAAAGATGTCTGGTTTCTTGAGTTTTGGGATATTGGTTGGCATGGTTATATAATAATGGGATATATTCAGTTATGGTGGATGGATTGGCTAAACAGTCCAAACTAGGTAGAAACTGGCTAAACAGTCCAACATAGTTACCAAATATATTTTTTATTTTTATTCTCATAATTTGATTGACAAAAATAATTCTCAAACATGTTTTTTGTTTCAGTGTTTATTACAAAATAGAGACTAAAATTGTCTCTGTTTTTAATTTTTTTGAAGACGCGAAAACGAAAACGTTACCGAACGACCCTTTAGTTTCTAGTAGTTTTTAGCATTATCATGTTAAAAGAACAATAAAAAATTAATTTTTTTTTCTCTTTTGAGTACTTTTCATCAATTTCTCACCAATCACATGAATCCTTAGGCAAATGCTTTCCACATAACACGTGGAGAGAGAGATGCCAACAAAACATGACCAATTATTGATGGGGTACAACAACACTACTTGGTGTTTGGTGGGGAAGGCGACCAATTATTGATGCCAATGAAATAGACTAAAATTTTTAAAAGGAAATCACTTATTTATTACTTAATGCTGAAAACATTTGTTAATAAAGATTTAAAAATTCCTTATAATGAATAAATATATCCTCAATATATTTTACATTCTTAATTTTTCAAAACTCACCCTCCATCACCACCATTATGTCGTTGACACCACTGTAACCATACTCACCACTACCATTATGTCACCGTCTCCATTATCACTACCATCATTATTGTGCCGCTATTACCACCACAATTATTGCTGCCACTACCAGTCTACCATCACTACCACAACCATTGTGTTGTTGCCACCGCTACCATTGTCATTGTGTTGCCTCCATATCCATTATCATTGTGTCGCCGCCGCCGCCACCATTGTGTCATTGCCACCACTACCATTGTCATTGTATCACCACCACATCCATTATCATTGTGTCATCGCCACCACCATTATCATCATTGTGCCACCACCATTGTGATGGTAATAGTAAGAATAAGATAGTTACGGTGAAATATTTAAAAAAAAGAGTAAAATTGAAATAATAATAATTTTTAAACTTCAGCTTTTTATATTTGTCAAATAGTTTGATTCAATTCAATAGTTAAATTTCAATAGATATACTAAACAATCTACGAATTAAAAAATTTAGCATTCAACACTTAAAATTCAACATTCAATTTTCAATTTTCAATTTTATCAAATTATTTTTTAAATACATCCAATCTTACCAAGTCTTCATGTCAGAAAAGACGGATGAGCTTGTTCATCTTTTGAAATTGCTTCCATTGACATGAATTAGAGTCATCTTCTACATGGACCTGACACCTTCAGAATTCTATCTTCATTGCTTTCAACTTCATTTTTATTCTATTTTTTGCGGCGAGCGAAGTACGTATATTTTTTTTATTAGATTTTTAGTTCGCCCTTCTTTTGATAGTCCATTGTAGGTTATTGTGAGTTGTGTCCTTCTCCATGGGCCGATGTGTAGTTCATCTTTGGATGGCTAATGTTGTTGTATTTAAAAATGGTTAGATTACTGATTTGTTAAAACAAACAGTAATGTTACACTGATCAAATTTTGGGATCAAATTTGAAGTTCAAATGACATGACAGTTGATTTGAGCTTCTTTGATTGGTGTCATGTCATTTGGATGTCAATAAAACCTTCAAATAATCAACTGTCATGTCATTTGGCTCCAAATTTAGTCCCAAAATTTGATCAGTGTAGCATTACTCTAAAACAAATGTTATTATTCATACTTGAAATAATTGGAATAATATTTTACTAATTTGAAATTAATTTAGTACCATAAACCATTGGTAGTCTTAATTTCTCGTCCCGATAAAAAATATTATTAAATTTGATATTTCGAGGTCAAATTATATTTGTTATGAGTATTAAAGTTGTACTCGCCGACAAATGCTTTGAAGTCTCTTTCAAACTCGTCTTCGGATTTTCGGTGAACAAGAGCTGTGGGACCAATGTGAAAGACCTTGTGGCCCATTGCATTGTTGTAGTAATCAACGTAAGCTGACTACAACTCGTAGAAAGTGTTCATCAAAACTCCATAGCTTTTCATCTCGGCTTCTCTCCATTGTTCCATCAACCAACTATACCCACAATTCTTTTGCTTGTAATCCGGAAGCTGAGAACGGGTTAGAGAGATCGCGTCAGGAAAACCAGGGACGAGAAATTCCTCATCATCAGACTCGACCTTGAAGTAGGCTGAGTGAGGACTTCGGATGGCTTCCCTGAGGCAGAGAGAGAAAGCGCCATATGTGTAGTAAACGATGCGCGGAACAGAGAGACAAGAAGCAAAGTCGAAAGTCCAACTATAGAACGCATCGGACATGATGCAGTCGAGACGGTGAGCATCCATAAATTCTTCCATAGGGTGTTGGAGGAGTTAGAAGGCATGGTACATCTTCGTAGCGGTCTCGGTGTCAGTGGCATGGGTGGTCTCGTCGAGGTTTTTCGGTAACCCGACTTCTTTGAGAGGGAAGGGGATAATTTGGAAGGTAATGGAGTGGTCGAAGACTGTCTGTTTGTTGTCAAGTGATTTCTGCAAGATTGAGGTGATAACTGTGGTGACGACGACGATGACGTGTTCTCTGTGGGCGGCGAAGAGACGAGCAATGTCGAATAGTGGGAGGGCATGGCTTGGTCCTATTTAAGGTAGGAAGAAGATCTCCAATGGCGAGGTACGGAGTGGAGCCATTGTCATGAAAGATGAGAATGGGAAGATGGAGTTTTTGAAATCTAAGAGTTATCGTCCATCTCATTTGTGTTTTAAATTTGGTTTGCTTTACCCAATTTTGAGCAATGTTATTGAGACCTAATTTATTGACATAATTTGCTAACCTAATTCATTATGACCTTTGGATTAACTGTGGGTTCCATCAAATATTAAAATTTGGTGTTTATTCAATGGTTCCAATGAAGCCATGTCATTAGGTCAACAAATTATATCAAATTTTTAGGTTCAAATAGAATTTTTCCTGAATTTATATACGGTATGTTTGGATTTTAAGGAATGTTTGCATCAAATGGATAATTCTAAAAGCATTAGAGTGATAAAAGCACCCATATGAGAAGTATATGGGTATTAATTTTTTTTTTTGGATCCAATATATGGGTGTTAATTGGGAGTTTTAATTTTTGTCATTTAACATTTAAAATTATGGGAATGTGATAAATTAAAACCAATTCCATAGTTGGTGGAATAAATTAGAATAAATAATAATAACAAAATCGTAGGCCTGTATATAAATAAAAAAATTGAGAAAGAAATGAAATGGTCTATCTTATTTCAAGTAATAACAGAGATCAGTTATAAATTCAGACGTATTGAGTTTAAATCTTGACAATCTCTTAGGTTCAAACCACGAGAAATTTATCCGCCATGAATTTCTTAGTTTCGATATAAATGATCTATCTTTATTAATTTCTCATAATTTAGTCGCAAGATAGATTATTCTCGCTAAAGTAGTACATTTTAAGTTGAATAGTTGACTGATTGGCAGTAGGTGACCACGCCAACTACTTTTCGTGATATTTTATTTCCTTCCTGTACGGGTTAATTTCTGTAATAGTTTGAGATAACGACCTTCAACTTGATGAACCTGAAATAATCACAAGATCAGTAAAAGGGGGCCAGGTGAACAATCGGCTTATCCCCTCCGAAGTTTAAGTCAGTCTCAAGACTCGAGATTTAAGCTCCATGAATAATATTTTTTTGGTTCAATCTTGCATACCTTTGTTCATTTTTCTGAGGAGTATTTATCCTTGGATTAGCAATGATTGCCAAAGACCTCAAGTCCCATCTGGACATTTAATGTCTGACACACTTCCTCCTGCGCAATGAGTGTTCTCCACTCAAGTCCTCTCCTACTCAATGCTAGGATGATGGGACAAGTGTTTGGCACCACGGCAAGTATTTATACCTTTCTTCGAGTATCCACATCTCTTAGATCGGCATCTGACACCCGCAACTGAGCATTGAATATTCGGGAGAATAGTTCCTCGGAGAGGGCCGATCGTACATACTCAGCGTAATAGCCATCAATGCCTAGCCATCATAATGGTAGGCCTAGACTCTCTGAATGCAGGCGCTCATTTAATAGCCTTGTCACCATCACTCATTTCGTCATAAATGAGAAGTCATATCGTATTAAATGCGATGTCAGTTGTCGTATTCGCCTCCTCCGAGACACCATATTTCGGCTTATCTCCTCGGCGCCTTTTGGACATCACAACGGCTACGTTTTTTCACGTGTCAGTCTGGGGGCCGTAGAGCCACCTAGAGTCCCTCCATTTCCCAATGACTTTAAATCATTCATACATCCCAAATTTTAATTTATTCCTTAAATTGAGCATCAACTACGTGTTTCATTGAAGCTTTATCACAGGAGCAAGAGTCCTTGTCCGAAGTTGGTAATTTTCTTGGTCAGATTAATGTCACAAACTTTCAAGTTTTCTCAGCAGCTTGGGTAAACAGAAAAAGAACTGTAGTTGCTCATAATTTAACCAAATTTGCTATAAACCGTAATAATTTTATGTTGAGGAGGGAGGAGATTTCGTATTATGTTGTTATCTCAACTCCATGTGTTGCTTAGTGACTGAAATCGCTGTTTTTTCCAAAAAAAAAAAAAATTACGTGCTTTTGTGTCACCCACGTTTCAATTTTCTGTCCGAAACCCATTGTTACGTTACTGAAGTTGTTGTTCTTATAACATGTAGGATGGAATCATGCATACCAATGATGAGGAAACCCGTCATTTTTTCAAGCATTCTTCAGTGCAAGTGCTACTTTGCCCCCGATCTGCTAGAAAAGGACAGGGTTGGGTCAAAAAACTGGTTGGTTATAATAGTTATCTCTACATCAATGGTTTGCCTGCTTCCACTTTGTTTTTTTTTTGCGTATTAAGAAATGTGCCTTAATCCTTTCTTGTTAGAGTTATGCTATTTGAACTTAAAAATTTGATCTAATTTGTTGACATAATGATGTGGCTTCAACAGAACCATTGGATCAACACCAAGTTTCAATGTTTGATGGGCCCACAGTCAATTCAAGGGTCACAGTGAATTAGGTCAGCAAATTAGGTCTCAATAACATTGCTCTTTTCGTTATCCTACCGATAATGCTTTGTTTTATGTGATGCTGTAGACAAGTTTTGCGAAATTGGAGTGGAATTCTGTATCCATACTTGTTTTTTAACAATGGTGTGCCTGGTTCCACTTTGTTTTACAGCATTAAGAAACGTTCCCAAGTCCATAGTCTCTTTATCTAACTCTTAATTCTTTGTCTTTTGTGATGATGCTGACAATTTTTGTGGGAAAGAGAGTGGAATTCTGAAATGTTTGCTTGTCTATCTGGTGTTAAAATCCTACAGTCAGTGTTCACAAATGTGTTTTTATATGAAGAAGAAGTATCTTTTGAGACTAGTGTGAAGTTTTCTTAGACTTCCATGGTACTACTGTAGTAACATTAACGAGAGTAAGTTACACCGACATCTTTGTAAACAAGATGTTTTGTGAAAACAAGAACAAGACAAAAATAATATATTAATGTCAACAAAATTGACTATAATGCAATTTTCTGCATTCATCATTACAGATTTTAACAATCTGTAAAGGTTCATGAGACTAGCTTTTTCATAGTACAGAGAATAACGTTGCAAATGCACTTACAGTTGGCATGGGCCATTTTGTTGTGCATTGGTAAAAGGAAGGGCTGTCAAACCTGAAAACATGGGTTAAAGTCTGAGGCAGCCCCTTGCTCCAAACAAAGCTGGAGATGGGACTGTACTCAGTCCACCCCTTCTTTGCACCCTGGATTGACATGTTTGGCATACAAATTGAATTACCATGAAAGGTACAATATACTAGACCAAATAAATGAGTAAGATTACTTAAGTAGGTTTTTTATTTTGTGTGAAGTTGTTACTTGCACTGATTTTGTTCCCCCATAATTCCCAAAGGTCTTGTTTGAATGGATTTTTGAGAAAGGTTAAATTGATTTCTCTAAACTCTATTAAACTTAATTTTTTTTTTTACAAAGATGAGATTCAACATTAAATCCAGTTTATACACATATTTAGTATATCCACGGATATATCACTATTATGATAATATATTTATATATAAATGACTATTTTGCCCCTTCACCATTCTAATTTAAACCTATGTTTGTATATGTATGTAGTATAATTGTCTGTTTGTATCTTAAATTCGTTGTCAACCCTCATCCGAAACCCACCTCTCATGGATTTGATGAAACCCATGATTTAAGGTTTAAAGTCTGGACCAATAGTAAGTTGGACTTGGTAACACATTTTAAATTTTTAGCCAAACATTAATTTTATGTGTCATTTGAACTATTTTTTTCTAATCTATCTACCAAATCCCCCTCAGTCTCTCCAAAGAGTATGACATTGTATCGGTAGCATGATTTACACTGTCAAATCGATGGTCCAGCAGCATATGATATGCTCACCAGCCTTGAGGAGCGTTGGTTAAAGGCTTCAAAACCACCCCCACGAACTTCAAAAAATGAAAGTATCATATGATACACAAACTTGAAAGAATTCCTGACATATCAGGAATAGCATATGCATTCATTTTTTCATCCTTCTTATTTTTCTTCCTTATCAAATATGATGTTTTATCTATCCCTCCAACTTTTCATCCTTTTAACTTTTTATCCTTTCATTTTTTTATCGTACCAAACAGAGCATTAGAGTTGTTAAAATTTAGTTTCTCCAATACTCTTTTAAAATTTAGTTCCTTAGTTTCGCCCTTTTTTGAACAAAAACAAAAAATTCCCTCTTGTGTTGGTAATGGGTTAGCTGATGCCTTCTCTGCATGTAACAAAACTTGGTATGCGGAGAAAACTTACTGATAGACATGAGTATACACACAGGCTACAGCATATGTAAAGGCAATTTGTGCTGCACAACATTCCATTTATATTGAGAACCAGTACTTCCTTGGGTCTTCATACAATTGGACTCTAACAAAACCTTGGGTACGAAAATGGAATTTTTTTCATATCATCGTAATACATATTGACATATATACCACTTCTCATAGTCTGAGAACATGGTAACTTATGTATTGTTCCAAATTATGCAGTAATAGATGTGTATCTGCAGGCGCAAACAATTTAATTCCAATGGAAATTGCAACCCAATGTGGCCAGAGGGTGTTCCTACAAGTATTGTTACTCGAAGTATTCTTTTTTGGGAGGTAGACTCCAACTACCATTAGGGGAGTAAGTTTTGTTGCACCTCTTTATCACGCCAGACCATATACTATCAATGTTCAGAAGGTCAATTCAGTTTTTTTTTTTATAATTAATGAATGAAGGAATCATACAAATATCCATGTTAC